TTACCAATACTGTTTTGTGTCATTTGTATTATTAATTTTGCATTAATTACAAAACATTTCTTAATGTTTCATTATTAATTTAGTTTAAGAATAAATAGGTTGTTTTATCTTATTGTCATCTTATTTATTTTAGGTTATTTTTCCATTTTAATTCTTTGATTTTTTTTCATTTTGTTAATTATACATATATAAATTATAATTTGACATTTTTAAATGTATTACGTATAATATCATTCATAATCAGTGCAATTATATTTTTCTAAAAGAAAAATAGGAATGTATTTATTTCCTATGGCAATTTTATTTATTTTTTTTATGTTTATTTGGCTACCTGTTTGTTTTTTGGTCAGGTCCACACTCTTGCACATTAGATTTTACAGAACAGGACTGGTAGTTTGTTGTTTTTTTCCCCTCTCTCCACAGCAATCCTGTCGAAAAAGAATATGGTGATTTCACGGTTTTGGACAGGACTGCAGTGTGATTTAGAAAGCTGTCAGAGATTAATGAACAGGAGTTTCTGTTATCAGTGGAATTAAAACTAAGTGCTGAAGCAATTCCCCGGACTGATTGGCAAGTCAATGAAAGTTTGAATTCCCCATCTTCCCCTTCTCCTGCTGTGAACGTTCATCACCTTTTTTTTTTTTTTTTTTTTTTTTGTGTGCCATTTTTAGACTCACCAGAGCGGGAACAACGAAGACATTAATTGGTTAGTTAAACAGCAGATAATGAAACGGCAGTCGTTTTGATTATCCAGCTTAGTGATCGGTTTAATGATTTAATTTAAAATGAAGTTCTTTGAGTTTTCTTCGGGTTGGGTCGCGCCTTGTGCAGTTTAGCGTCTGGTTACACTGTAGATGTGCTGCCTCTTAGTGGGAGAGACTTATATTATCACAGCAGATATTAAGCACATGTTACCAGAAGCATTTTTAAGTAGTATTAGGTTGCACCCTAAAATTCATTGCCTTACAAACATACACAGACTCCCCTTGAGTTAATACTTTGCAAAAAGATGTTTTTCTACCATTATAAATCAACTTTTGCCTTTTTTTGTTTGCAAAAGAAGTAAAAATGCTGTCAAATTTAATTTAGTGTCAATTCTCAATTATATTAACATCTGGACTTTGACTAGGCCATTCTGATAAATAAATTCTTTTACCAGAGCATTTCCACGATGGTAACACAGTTGCGTCATCATGAGATTTCAACTGCGTCTTATTAGGGGGGTGAATACAAATGCTCATCACATGTTGCTGTTTTACTTTTTTTCTGTAAGAGAAAATGGGAAATATTTCAGCTCAGTGGTGGACTTAGTAACTATTTTTAGCATTTCTAACATATTTACACACATCTATAGCTGCATTTCCATTACAAATGTATGTAAATCTTTGTCTGTATTCTCCTAATGTCGAAAAAAACACAAGTTCTCAGTTGTGACGTTTCCATTAAATAAGACATTAAATTAAAGTCGCACGTGAATAAGCTTGTTCACGCCATAAATAATTAAAAATCATGGCAGCAACAAATGTAAGCGGTTAAATGAAATGCATTCATGCATTCATATGGTAGAGACTACGTATGCAGCATTTTGGGAAAATTGTATGGATTCAACATGTTTGAATGTAAGTTTTTATGAACTGTGATGCTGTGAGAGCTCTGATGGACCAGCAGCACCTCGTCTATAAATAAAACAAAAATCAAAACAAGATCCTCCATCTACTTCCTGTCTTCTTCGTAGTTTCTACCAGTAGTAACATCAGACTGTTGGTCACATGACCCCTGTGGTTCAAAAAACATATTTCCATTGCAGTTTTACAAAATGCATCCATTTCAATGCGGGTGAAAACCCACCTCCTTCTTGTACAAAATCATTTTTCTCTTTTGAAATTGCCTTGTTTTCATTAAGCAAATTTATTTTCATGATTTTGATTTGAGCAATTCTGTGGTTAATGGAAACGCAGCTGATGTCTCCTTGAACGCTTTCTGATAATGACTCGGGCTGCATCATCTGGTCAATAAGTTCACACTTCTGGAGGTTAACCGTTGAAATTGTAACTTTTTCATCCACTAAAACACACAACGCGACGGTTACAAGTTGAGATTAAAAGTCTTATTGTAAAGACCGAGGACATTGTTTGGAGTTGTAAATTTTAAATATGATTATTTTTCTGTCTCAGTAATCAGAACTGAAGTCAATCAACTGATAAACCAGTATCGAGACACAACAGCTCATATATCAGGAGCTTTTTATTTCTTTTGCTGCTTCCCAGATCAACCTTTGGACATTGAGTTGTGGCAGCAGAATTTCTCCTCAGAGGTTTTACCAGACTGAGGATAGATGTATTTCTCTGTGGTAATTGTTATTTTTCTTCAAAGGTTGGGGCAGGACGAGAAGCATCCTATATATATATATAAATATATATATTTTTTTTCTTCTTCTTTTTTCTTTTTTTTTAGAACAGCAGCTGGCGCGGCTACACACTAACAAAGAAAATGGCTTTTCCTGTGCCAGTCAATAAAGCTGAAGGAAAGGCTGGGAAATTGAATTCTCGGTTTCTAGATCATGACGAATAAAGTCCAGAGAAAAGTGTAAAACAAAAAGGAAACCTTTGCGTTTTTTTGTTGTTTTTTTGGGTGACTCGTTGACTGTTGTTTTGATGCTGTAATGGTTTCATGACCTTTTATCACAGGACAAACACACACAAAAATAAACATTCTGGTGGGGGAAAAAAAAAATAAAAGTGGAGAAATAATGGGGATCATTTCCCGCCCGGAGCGCTGTCTGAAAGCATGTTACCGGGCGACCTTCAAGCCAGACTTATTCGCCTGTTTTGGCCTCTCTCTCCAGACACGCTCCTCATCGACTACCAGTTCACCTTCAGCCTGTCGCAGGAGGACGACCGCTACTACACCGCCATCAACTTCGTGGCCACACCCGAGGAGGTATGTCAGGCAGAAAACGCCCCGCCGTCATGGCAGCTGTCCACTTGCTAAGAATAAATATATTGAGTTAACCACCACATGACCGAGGTGCTTTATTTTCTGATTACAGTAGTCATGTGTCCCCTACTGCTGCTCTTCTAACATGTTTCTTCTTTGGCATTACCTGAAGTGAGTCAATGAATGCTCAAGAGTGGAAAGAAACAAAGATTTCTGCTTTTATAAAACTCCTTAGGATCAATTAACATTAACATTTATCAGCACCATGCAACAACACTTACTTTCTCTGAGGACAGTAAGATTGAACTTAGTATTTTAGTTTAAAAAACATTAAATAGGGTAACCCTAACCCATGCGTAAAACCCTTTGCACATTGTTAGCATGGTTAGCCTTAAACACAACAAAAAACCAGAGATGGTGACCAACAAAGTTTGGGTGGAGTCATTTGTCGAACTTTTAGCAGGAGCTCCAGCACAATGTAGTCCTCCATTGCTGTTTTCTGTCTCTGATGTTCTCCTAAGATATGGTATGACCTTTTTGGATGCAACTCTTTTACTTTAAAAGACTGCAAATACAACCCAACCCAAAGCCCTTGAAGCTTCAATAACTTTAACAACATTGTAGATGATAGGCCAACAAAGTAGTTGGTCTCTCATCAACTACTTTGTAAAGTAGAAGGAAAATGACGCCTGTTTTCATAGACTTGGCAAATAGAAATCTAAAAAGTGTGGTGTGAATATGTTTTCAGAACCCCTCAAAGCTCCGCCCACATAGGAGCACTGTTTTCATTTCAAAAACACCAACCTGTAATGTCATTTTTTTTACTCCCCCTGACCTGAAAGTGGTGCCGAACATGGAGTATGGCAAGTGTATAAAGCCTCCAAATGTCGTTAGCATTGGTTAGCCATAAACACAACAGAAAATAAAAAATGACCCAAAGACCTAACAAAGTGCAGGTAGTCTTGTTTTAGTATTTGATGCACCAGCTCCTGATGGTAATCCTCCATTATTGTTATGTATTGTGTCTGTGATACGTTTAGGGTTAGAGGTCAAGTTACGAGTTAAGCTAACATGTTAGCTTTATCACAAAAAATGCTTTTGCTGTCAACACTAATACACAAGAGCGAAATTTTCACTTTGTAGCCTGTTTTAGGAAATATTGTTTTTGATCCCCTAAAACGCCGTTTCCATGTGAACAAACGATTAAAAACCTTCCTGTTCTAGAAAAACAAGCTCTCTTGTGGGCGGGGCTTCAGTCAATTCTTTACGAGCCAAGTTTAGCTGCTACTCCAGCTGCAGGGGTTTTTGCGTGTGTCTCTTAAACCTTTACACATTTAGATTCCCCATTCCCATCACATCCTTTACAATCCAAAGTGCTGCTTTGGCTCTGTTTTCTTAATAAATACCATGATCACCTACTGTACGAACCGTGTTTTATAGCCCAAGAAGTAGAACCTTAGGATGACAAAACATGCTGGATATTTCTGATATCTTATTAAGACATGAGGGTTTATTAAATACCCGCCTTGAACAGATTGACCTGTGAATCGAAGTGATGTCTTATCATCTCGTCGCAGTCACAGATGTTTTCCCAGCAAACAAAAGCTCGTCCACTTTTGTTTATTCGTCAGGAGCATCTGGAACTGAAAGTGAAATGAAAGCGTCTGATGAAATGTTCCAGATGTTTTTTCTCCCCTGATGAAGCTTTTACCAGAGTGTTGCAACGGCGGAAATGTAATCCATTTGTCATCTGAGCAGGAGCAGAGATAATTACCTTCATGCAGGAAGTGGTAACGGCTTGTCTGACTTAACTTCATCTGTAAGATTAGGAAAGAATCCAATTTAAATGCTTGTTCTTGCTTTTAATAAAGTGTGATTAGGAATTAAGTTTTGCATCTAAAACAAGTGAGTAAGACCTACTGTCAAATAAATGTGCAATATATTGTGTTTGGTAGAGCTAAAGGTGTGTTGTAG